CAGCGTGTGTTCTGTGAAGTTGTGACAGGTTATTAGCAACGCGAAAGGGCAACCGGGGTCATGGAGACGCCGCACGCTCCTGGCCAACTCCGCTTCCTCCTCTGGGCCCAGCGCGCCGGCGCCAGTAAGGCCCGCGTCCTCCAGCGGGTGTGCACCAAGAGGGGTCTGACCTTGGCGGCCCTCACCCCGCAGGAAGAGATCGACTCCAGGGAGGCAACAGGAAGGGTTCCGGCCCAGGGGCGAGAGACAGAGAGAAAATCCCCTTGGCGCGGGGAGCCTGCCGGTTTCTGAGTTCTCTCGAGCTCGGGTTCCGCCACAGACCACAAGCCACTGTCCTAGGAAAGCAAATTGGCAGGGAAGCGTGTATCTCAAGACAACAAAAACCTCCAGAACTATTGAGAGGAGAAAATCTGCCGGAAGTCCACAGTCCCTGAACTGATGTCAAATCGGACTCTATTTTAGAAAAATCTGCTCTAAACACAGACAGGTTTTGCCAAGCTTGGGGGTTCATTAAAGTAGTCTGCGCTGGGATAACCGGGGTGCAAGGTGCCACGTCTCTGCTTGGGGCCCTGGGGAGCCCCCTCCTTTGCCCCCAGGTCGGTAGAAGGTGGGGTAAACCCTTGCCTTTTGTTTGTGGGTGAGGGATGCGCATTGTGGCAGCAGCCGAGCCAAGGGGGGAAATTAATTGCAGCCAATTAATAATTAATCCCCTTTAAACAGCTTTATTATCTCTCCCGAACGACAGGGATTTGTCTGATAACCCCCCGAAGACCAAATGTCAAGTTTAACCAAATAGTTATTGCTTTATCAACCCGAGTCTGCAAATAAATTAATCAAAAGCAAATCTGTCCTTTGTGCGGCTCATTTGCTGGTAATGGATGGATATGAAGATTCGCCGATATTATTGTCTGTCATTCAATCTAACAAAGTGAACATTTATTGCATATATATTAAAAATTATCCCGAAATCGAGTGGCGCCGGGTTGCATTTATTGGAGTCTTCCCAGGGGTGAAGTCCCTTCGGATGAGGGCGCGTGGGGAACGGAGAAAAGTGCAGGAGCGCGCGTCCCAAATCTCCTTAAGCCTCTGCGCCCGCCTCTGCCCCCTCCCCGAGGCGTGCGACTTCCCCCGCCCGCAACCCCCAGCCTCTGCCCCGAGCCGCCGGCCGTGCCGGCCGCCGGCGGATGGTGGAGAACCCAGCGCCTGTCAAAACAGAGGCTTGGGGCCCCGAGCGCGCGCTCGCCAGGAGACCGGCCCTGGGAAATTTGGGGAGGGGGTGTGATTGAGGAGAGAGAAACGGGAGGGGTACAGTTCCTCTTTGTCTTCTCTGGGGGTGACATCATTTTCTAATTAGGCATAAAATTGTCTTCATACACTGGTATTGCGGCCTTCATAAACATCGCCATTATGGTTCATAAGGACGCCCTTGTGAGGAGCCCGTCCCAAAATAGAACCAGCTGGGGCGGGAGAGGCCTGGAGTCCGGGAGGCCTCGCTTTGTCCTCCCCTGGGAGAAGATGGATGGCCAGTGTCACGCAGATGATGACTTGGGACTATTACATTGTCGGGGAGGGGGGCATCTTTAGCAGCCCCGGAGCTGGTGGAAAATTCTAGAGACAAGCAGGAGGGTTCCTCGGTGGTAGGGGAAGGCCAGGCCGCCGGGTTAGCTGGGCAGGCTGGAGGCGGAGGTGGCAGGTTCGGTGGCCGGCGGCGGCATGCGGGCATGCAGCTGCGATCACCTCCCCGGCCACCGCGGCTTGCAGCTCGGGGCTCAGGGCGTCCCTGGTCTTCGCCCAAGGCTGGGGGACCAAGCAGGGCCAGGAGAAGCGGAGGAGCCTCGAATCGCGAGCCGTGGAGGACTGTGCCAGGGGCGGGGTGGGGTGGGGGGACAATTGTTCCCATTATTCGGGGCTGAGGCCCGAGCCCGGCCTCCGCGCTGCTAACTGGATGGAGATGGATGGAGGCGCCCTGAGCCCCCGGCGTCGTGTCAGACCCGGGACAATTACTGTGCCGCCAGGGTGGACACGCTGCCCGCCACCCTGACCCCGGCGCGCGGGCCCGCTGGCTGCCCGCGCCGCCTGGGCGATCCTCTCTCGCGCCTTTACAATAACCCGACTTGACGTAAATAACTCCCGCGTGCTTGTCTACATCTGTTTGACCTCCTGAACCCGCAAAAAAAAAAAAAAAAATCTTTGCTGCATTTCAAATAAATCGCGTTTTGCTTTAGGAGAAAGAAAGCAAGCGTTTAAAGCTGCCCGGTGCCAGCCGCTTGGCGAGTGCTCCCCTGGTTTGGGTTCTTGTGTATCTTGGAATTCACATCGCTGCGAGACAATCTTATCTCGCTTCTTCCAGGACCGGTTTACTGGGCTTCTGCTCCGGGTAGCCTGGCGCACGGTGCTCCCGGTAGTGGTCTGCTCTCCAAAATATCCCCCCCACCCCCCACCCCGCCCCAGGCAGTCCTTAGCGGTGGTGGCGGTGGCGGCGGAGGGGACAGAAGAACAGCTCTTGTGAGAGCCGGTTCCAGCTGAGTCCCGCTCTGTCTGGGAGTGCCCCCCGGGGGCCTGGCCGGAAAGCCCGGGCAGCCTGGCGCCCCGAGTGCGCGCTCGGGTGACATGACCTGGCAAGGTTGGGGGGACTGATCGGGAAAGTGCCACGCTGGCGCCACACCCCGTGTCGCCAGGCGCCAAGACAGAAGGGAGCCATAGTGGTAGGAGGAGGGGAAGTGGCTTGGCCAAGCCCTTCCAACTGGAGTGGGCTGAGGATGCCAGGGCCAACTTTGCTATTTGAGGCTTCCTCTGGGTGGGTAGCTGAAGTAGATAGATAGCATTACCCTGCCACTGCCTTCCAGCTGGTCATCCGTGCCTCGTTAGGTCCAGCTGGCCACAGGTCACCCATGAGGACAGGATCTGGGGACTCTGGAGATGAAAGGGCCCCAACAGGTCAGCTGCTCCGAGTGACCACCAGGTGTGTCGTGGTACAGAAAGTTTACTCCTCGCTGTCCCTGACTCCCCACCTTCAGAAGAACACGTGGGGAGCTGAGGCTGAGCCTCGCTGAGTAATCCCTGGTGAGCATAGGTTCTGGGACCTCGGCTCTCCTGGCTCGGTAGTGCCGGGAGTGGCAGTCGCAGGAGCAAGACCTGGGCTTTTGCAGCTGCATCAAAACAGAACAAAACAAAAGGGTCCCAAAACTCTGGAACCAGCTTTTCCTTTGCTACAGTTTCTTTCCATTGAAAGGAGAAGGACTCTGAAATGTCCAAATCCCTGGACTAGGGCTTTCACATGGTCACTGCCCATGTCATTGGAAGTAGGTGCAAACTGGTGGACTAGTGTCCCGGATGCCATCCTTTCACTGACTAGCCATCAGTCATTCCTTAATGAATCCCACACATGCTTTGTGAGGAGATAGTGCCATATGAGATACAAAAGAAATACAAAACACTGCCCGCAAGGAACCCAGTTCTCTTGGAAGAAAAACCAGGTGTAGCGGATCCTGAAGTGTATCCTGGCTGTGGTACCACTGCACTCGGGTTCAGCCTACATTTGCCAGTTCCTGGCTTGGGGACCTAGGACAGGTGTCTCTTCTGCAAAACGAGCATGGGGGACACTCCTTCTGCAAGTTGCCCTAACTTGTGTGGGGGACACTCCCTCTGCAAGTTGCCCTAACTTGTGTGGGGGACACTCCCTCTGCAAGTCCCCCTAACTTCTCGGGGTACTCCAGGGCAGGTGGCATTCACAGGACAGATGTGAATGAGCATCATCATGCCTGTACAGGCTGGAACAAGACCACAGTTTCTCTGACCACACCTCCGAACTTCGAATTCCAGAGTGGGGGACCAGGTCCTGGGGATGTGTGCCATACTCACTGAATGAGGCACTTGTTATTGATGGTGTAATGTTGGTTGTCTTAGTTAATCTTTCTGAATCTGTTTTCTCTATATACAGCTTTCTCTCCTGTTCACTCTACAAAGTAGCTGTACGGATGAACGCTGATAATGTTTGTAAATATGTTTTGGAGACTTAACAAACATCATGGCAAGTAAAATAACACACAAGGAGCCATGACTACACTCTGTAGATGAGCTATCCATGCCGATTGCCTGTATGATGGGTTTCCTGAGTCTTTTGGCCTTGCAGGATTTGTAGGATGCTGAGTTTGGGGGCAGCCAGTGCACACACTGGAATGACATCCTACTAGCTGTGCTGCCGACAGAACGGAACATTCTCTCCTAGATATTAAAGAGCGATCTCTTGTATATTTGGGTGAAGCCCCAGCTAGAGTTAGCATATCCAGCAGAAGCACTAGCTTTCTCAAGCCTTGTTGAATTTTAAGGTCTCTGCTGCTTGGAAGTTTCCTTGAAAATAAGATTTATTATTGATCAGGGGAAAAAAAGGTGAGGAAAGTGAAACCCTTTTGAAACTTTTTGGCTGATCTTCCCATCTGAAGAAATGCATATTTTCATTATTAATAGGGAAAACGAAGCAAACTCCAAGCTACTCTTGTCAGAATGTGCTGGCTAAAGACGGGAAGTGAAGTGAATGTTAGAAGTGAAGTTCCTTGCTGAAATGGGAGGAGGGAAACAAGAGGTTCTAAGGAGGGACTTTGACTCTTTAGAGAAAATGTGCCCGTCTAAGGCAGGAAAATTGGAACGAGGGAAACAGGGTAGAAATGGAACCCAAGAAGGAGCAGGGCCACCTCTCCTCAGATGGCCCCACAGCTGATCTGCAGCTCAGCGAGCTACTTTTCATCCAGTGTGGCCTGTCGAAATCTTCCAGCAGGTTCTCCATTAAGGGAGCTGCCTTTCCTTTCATTCCCTTAACTTTTGTGTTAAATGTTAACAACCTGATGCTATCTATTATGGTGCCATTATCACAGGATGTTGACCTAACTGGTTCTTTTATCTCTATTATGGGGCTGCCGCACTTGCAGATTTATGCATTTTTGATATTAAATTCTTTCTGTCATGAAGCCCATGGTCTTGTTGACTTTCATTGACCCCCTGACCTGGTCCCCCGATACTTTTCCATATTTAATACTAAAGCATTTTTCTCAATGTCTCTCTTGGCTTTGTTGCCATCCGTTTGACGGCTGTCCCTAATGGCCTGTGCTGTTTGCTCTGTTCTTGAACTTGGTGGGGTCACACATTCTTAAACAGTGATGTCCTCTGAATGTCCACCCTTGCTGTCCAGCTAAATTGCCCTGTGTCACAAGCCCTGCCCTTTTCTCCGCCCCTAACTACCAATGGCTGGTAATCCCTTAAACAAACACCTTTCCTAGTGGTGCCCCAGGACCCCCCCCCCCCAGTGTCTTTTGGGTTTTGTTTAGCTGAGCTGCTAATGCTCTGGCTGCCCCACTGGCCAGCGGCTTGGCCTCGCTGACCTGATACATCGCAGCTCTTCTCCTTGGAGCGCCTGCCTTGTCCAGAGCCCCCTGGGCCAAAGGCCAGAGTCCGGGCAGGGTTGACCAGCTGCTTGAGGTGGTTACAAAAGACACCCAAAGACAACTTCAGCTCGGAGCTGGCCAATGAATGTATTCATTTATCTCCCCCCACCTCCGCCCACCCCCAGCCCTATCCACAATCTCAGTCTACTGACAAGACAAAGGGAAAATATTGGGGGGAGGGGTGGGGCACGGGAGGCCCATCTCGCACCAGAAATCTTGGCTTCCTTCTGGGGGAGGTCTGTTCAGTCTCACAACACTTACGAGACCCATTTCCAGAATTGAAGTTGCCTGGTGTTTTGATTCTTCCTTTGCCTGTGCATTTGTGCCCTGAAGGTCCTTTCCAAATGGATACTAATTGTGGGGGCTGCACGCTGCTGGCTGCTCCAATGCCCCAGGGCCCCCGCGGACCTGCTTCTCAAAGCCTTAATTGACAAGGACCTGTCTGTATTTAGGAGCAGCTGGTCCGGAGCATTGGCACATCAGTGCAATCTTAACACAGCATCCCTAGCCCCGAGGAGGATGAGGGTAAATGTGGTTACAATGAAGGAAGATTTATAGCCAGCCCCTTTGGGTAATAGGACAGAAGACAGCTCCCAAGATTTTTCCCCTACCGGGGGGTTCATTCGTCAACTCCCGGGCCTGGCAACCAGATAGGAGGCGCGCCCAAGCTGTTATTACTACTCAGGGGTGGGGTGGGAGGAGTGGGTGGGAGGGGGCGAGTTCTTCTTAGAACGATCAGGAAGGTGACAATATTCCAGTCTCCTGCGTCGCCCCAAACTGGACCGAGGTCCCGCAGCCCATCACGGCTGTCTCTGGCTTCCGCGGGCCTCGGCGCCGGTGTCTCCGCCAGGGTCTGGCTCTGGGTTAATAGTGGCGCCGCCGGCGGGAAGGGAGAGTGCGCTCTGGCTGCCCAGCCCTGGAACAGGCAGGCTTTCAGTGGCTCGGGCTCCGGTGAGGGCGTTTTAGAGTCCCAAAGAGCGGGTGGCGTAGACTGGGTTCTCCATGTCGTGCGCCCCAGCAGGCGCGCCCGGCTCCCCAGTTCCCCCGCTCCGCGCTTCGAGCGCATGGTGGAAACCTGCTCACTCCGGAGCTACGGCCATTCAGCCGGTTACAAAGGTTGACGGGTTCAAGAGGAACCCGGTTTTGTTGGGATGTGTGGGAAACACTTTGATGTGCGCCCAGTTCGCACGTGTGAACAGGGATAATGGGTTGGGGGATCTTCATTGAAATTTGAAGTTTTAAAAGCAGAATTCCCTAACTTTTGCCTGTTTTTCTCTACTTTTTCTTTTTCTTTGTTTATTCCTTCAGGAACAATGCCAACATTGAAGCCCTCGGTTGGAGCCTGCACAGTTGGAGATCTTTGGTGCCGTTTTAGACATCTTTGGATTTCATCAATCAAACTGACTGCAATTTTCCATAAAAACCCTGAATTTGGGTCAGAAAGTGGGCAAAGTAGATAAAGATCATTCGAGCTGTCTTATAAGATGATAAATAGATATCCTTTCAGGCCAACAATGCCAGAGTGCAGTTTTGTGATCGCCTTCCCTGGGCTCTGAATGCAGTGCGTCGAAACGATTTATACGTGTTTTCCCATGGGTTAGGAGGGGTCTTTACATACTTGTCAATAGTAGCCTGACCTTTTCCCCACCGAGCTGCTAAGTGTGTTAGTAGCTTTGGGTATTTTGTTTTTGTTGGTGTGTGTGTTTCCCCCCAAAACATACAAGAAAGGTTTTTGTTGTTCAAATCAAATAGAATATGGTTCTGATCTAGATAATTCTCTGCAATTCAACTGGTTCCTGGAGCTCCTGAGCCGGCTTAGAAATTCCCTTTGCTTTGTGGTTGATCCTGAGGCACTTCTGACACCACTTTGGACACCACGCTGGGATGTAAACTCGTTTTCTTAACAACAACAACAACAACACCCACTTGCACAGTGTCCTTCTTATTCTTGAACTTGACAAATGGCCTTTTGTACAAGGTGAATAAAAGGAAACCCTAAAAGAAACAGCAGTAGGAAACCCCAAAAAGATATTAACCCACTCCTTCCAGAGACCTTGCGAAATGTTCGCTGAAGTGACTGCTTAGTGAAGAAGAGCACTTCACTGCTTTCCTCTTCATTATTAAAAAAGAACAACCTGTTTATTCCGCATATCTCATGTGTCACTTTCCACTCACTGTCTCAGTTGTGTACCCCCGTTTTTGATCCTTCTCCAAATGTTTTCATTTTGATGTACCATTCACTCACTGTTTTCAGCTCCCCAGGTATTAAAGAAGGTCCCTGAAGAATTTCTCATTTTTCATGGAGAAATCATGCTTGCCATTCTTGGCTTTTTATGAATTAATGATCTGATGTGTCCTCCTGAGCTCATAGCATACACAATTATGCAGTGCATACAGTTAGTTTTCTCCATCTATGTTTTTTTCCTCCCTAAATCTAGCACCTGTGCACATTAACCCTTCTGTGCTTTGCTTTTGCAAACTTGGCAAATGCCAAATGTATTACAAAGCATGTGTCAAAGAGGGTATAGTACAATGGGAGTTAATTACTGTTATTAACTTACTGTCTTGATTAGTTTTGAATGAAGCACATAGCTGTGGCTACAGTTATTTAAGCACTCTTTATTAGCTCAAATAATTTGCAAGTTTTTGAAATATATTCACCATCTAAGATTTTAAATGGCAATTAGAGATTTAGAAAAAAAATCCCCACCTCTCTTAATTTGTCTTTGATAAATCTTGTTCTCAAGTACTAAACATTTTAAACTAATGTAAAGGTATCTTTCAATGTCATTTTATTATCACTTTTACATTATATATGGTGAAAAACAAATCTACTAAGAGATATTTTAATTTTAAAAGAATTGTCTGGGTTTCAAAAAGACCATTGCAAATAGCAAATTCATAAAGGAAAGAAACCTAATTATGTATCACAATTATTTATCTACAACAAAATATATTTAAATATCTTTAACATTTTCCATAGTTTCTTTTCTTATTTTATCTGTACTGTTTATTTTAGATATTAACTGTGATATCCCTGAAATCTATTTATAAAGTAAGAGGGAAAGTAGAGAAAGTGAAAGTTGAACTTTTGTTAGTCAATTCCAATCAGGATAAATCATCAAAGTATATCTTAAATCATTATATAAATAAGTACAAGTCTTTTACACCATTTCTTTGAGGAATCTACCTATCATTGTAGATGGTAGGTAGATGGTATAGCAGATGTTTAATAAAAATTATACAATTATACAATTTCTATTTTGGACATTTTTTAAAGATTTATTTATTTCAAAGTTAGTAAGACACACACAGATATATATATATATATATATACATATATACATATCTATATATCTATATCTATCTATCTATCTATCTAGAGAGAGATCTTCCATCTGCTGGTTCACTCCCCAGATGGTCACAACAACTAGGGATGGGCTGGTCCAAAGCCAGGAGCTTCTTCCAGGTCTTACACACATGGGTGCAGGGGCCCAGGCATCTGGGCCATCTTCCTCTGCTATCCCAGGTGCATTAGCAGGGAGCTGGATCAGAAGTGGAGCCTGTGGAGGCTTTACCCACTATGCCATAGGACCAGCACCTGCTTTGGACTTTTAACATGTTCTGTACATACAGTAAAGGGTATTTGATTACTGTCATTATTGGGTAGAGCAGGGGCCCTACTGGTAAACAGGAGAATGTTAAGCGGTTATAGGGCACACATTATATTCCATTAGTACAGTGCAAAGGACAAATAATGCAGCATAAACCTAAAGCTTCAGATTTGAAGTTATATGCTAGAAGCATGTGTTTCAGTGTAGGGTGAAGGATAAGGTAAGCTGGGCTTTGTCAAGGTATTGCTTCCCCAGGCATCAGCAGGGTAGACCAGAGAGCAATGCCAGACTCAGTTGGACGTCCCATTTTTCAGGTGAGCAAAGTGAGCCTGTAGAGAGAATGAGAGTCACAATGTACAACTGTAGCTTTTCCCCCTCCGTAACTCCTCCCCTTAGAAAATCAGGGGCACGTTTCTCCAGTTTTCTTTCTCATATCTACCAAAATAAGTAAATAAATAAAATAAAAAAGAGAAAAAGAAAGGAAAAGAAACCCAAAAGACATTTACATCCAGTTTTTGCAGGGTCCTCCTCCCACTTACGGTACATCTTTAATAAACTAATGCCCACATAGGCCAAAGGGAGCACCAGGTCAGTGAAGTCAACATCAACAGCCTGTTTGACTCGGAATTCGCTTTCCATGGGCGATTTTTGTTCTCAAAAACTATCGATAGTTCCCTTAGAATTCCCATTTCTGTTTACCTACTTAAAACAGAATGAAGGCACAGAAAATGCTTCAGCTAGGAAGAGAAGAAGTGGGAGGAGGACCAGGAAGAGGTAGAGGAGGAGAGAGAGGAGGAGGAGGAGAGGGGGAGGAGGAGGAGGAAGAGGAGGAGAGGGAGAAGAAAAGTGGGCTGTATCTTTACATACAAAGGGGAAAAAAGAAAACCCAGGTGAGTAGAAAAAAATATTTGGAGCCCCAGTCTGCCTGCCTGTCAGTGAGTCCTGAATTTATTGTATAATTCATGCTACCCTACACTTGTCTAGGTAACTACCACACATAACCTAAGCAATCCATATACCATTCACTTTACATCCCAATGCTCGAAGATTTTAAAACCATCATTTAACAGGCATCCATAGTTTCACAATTATCTATTATGCTTTTCAAAATCCCTTTAAAGCTTATGTTAACATGTTATGTTAACATCCTTCCTATTTTTAATAATGACATTCATTAACTTGCCATCATTGTCTCCAAGAGGGCGATTATGGGGGATAGCTACTGTTAAATTTTACAATGTCTGAAATGATGTGGTTTACTAAGAATTTGGAGGGAATTTGAAAGGCAAAACAAAGTAAATAATTTAAACCAAACCTATCTCCTGTTCTCATTTAGCTCGGTAATCTAAATAAAAGCCATCGAAGTGACGATCATGAATTTTCTGAGTGATTTGACCTCTGGTCGCAATTTTAAAAAATTAAATGCTAAAAATGATACCTTCTCACTTTTGTGCAACCAAGCATGCAATACAATTTTACTTTAGAACATTTTCGAGTTTAATAAGGGTTTAATAAGCATGGATTTACAGACAGCCAGAGCAAAGTTGTTGAATTTAATACAGGCTACCATATGGGAGGGGTTTTGAAGAACCATTCACATCCAAACCCTAAAATGGCTTCAAGCAGCAGGTAACCCGATGTTTATTTAATGAAGCAATGTATGAGCAGCTGCTGTTTCCCAATTTCAGATGTAGTTATCTTTCACCACTGTGCAACAATTCAGGAAGAAGAACACATTTCTGCTGTATTTTGGGACCATTCCCTTAGATACACAGGGCTACATCAGTAGATTCATAAATAAGAACATCAAGGCTGGCTTAAGGAAGAAAATCAAATACAAGAACTCTGGGGACGCAATCTGTGGGTTGTGTTTTCAAATCTATTGCTTAGTTTCTAGGCCATAAAATTTTTCAAGCTTAGATTAAGCCCTAACGACCTCTTTATAGATAAATAAAAATCCAGACTGACATTGATTGTTGACTGACCTTGTGGTATTACTGCAGATGGACACATGAGGCTAATTCCTGTTACCCAGGGCATGCTGGGCACTGCCAACACATAATATCCCTCTAAGCGGGAACATACTGATGGACAACTGGGACTCCGGGAAGGGCCAGAGTTTCTGAGGCAGTCGATGCCAGGATAGCCTTTGTTATAGCAGGTGTATCTGGCTGTGAATGCACTGTTCCTTTCACTCCTAAAAGCCAGGCCGCCCAGGGGTCTGGGGCTTGTATATACTACATTTGCTATATTTATTTCTTTAGTTCATGTCTGCCTTTTGGACAAATATGAATTAGAAGAACATATACTGATTGCTCTCACATTATCAATGCATATGGCGGGCCTCTTGGAAAGGAATAAAGTTGGGATTGGACAACTGTAATTGTAGACTTCCTACTTAAGAAAGCAATTATGGGAAGCTTTTGTATAAGGTTGGCCTTGCAGATAGAGTTAACTGCAGTCCTACAATGCTTACCTGATTTTTCTTGTGACCAATTTGCAAGTTTGGTTTAGGGATTCATTTAAGAATGGTAGCACTGGCTGAGGCCTACACATTAAGATGAAATTAGAGCTATGGTTTTAAATTCTCCATCCAGGCCCAATACTAGTGATGCGTTTATTTGGGAAATTCTTTTAGAATGTAAGTTTTTTTTTTAGCTTCATGGTGATACATATTTATTAATTTTTAATGTGTTTACTGCTGACTAAGGGAAAATATTTGCCTTAGACTGTTAGAGACTCTATTCCATGCAAATTCCTACTGTGGGGCTGGATGAAGAAGAATAAATGGAGGTCATCCGTGCTATTTCCCCAAGAGTCGGTAGGACTCACCACTTGGTATGGGTGAGGGCTCTGAGCTTTGATTAATCAGTCACGGGTCTGTATTGCCTGTTACGCATCTGCCAAATGGGTTTGCTGGGGTTGAACACAGAGCAGATACCAGATAACTCAGCAGCTTTAGCTGAGTTAAGAGCAAGCCCTCAGATCAGTAGGTTCAAATCTCCCACTCAGCAGCTGGCACCCTGGGCAAATACTGCATTTAACCCCTCTGCCGGTGGTTCCCCCATCAGGTGGCTGCCAGCATTAGATAATTAATATTTGCTAAGTGCATAGAACAACATGCACTTCACTTCACTTCACTCACTACGGCGATGAGGCTTCCACTCAATCAATCCCAGCTCGGCTGTGGCGCCCTCACAAGTGTCCCTAGGCCTCTGGCCCCTTGGGAAAGCAGCCTCCACGCAGGCTGGAAGACTGTGCAGCTCCTGGCTGCTCTGAGAATTCTTCTAACACCCCAGCACCTTGATCTTCCCCAAGCCTGAGCAGCCCCCAGCTCCGCTAGGCTGGCGCTAAACGGGGTCCGTCAGAGTTGGGGAGAGACCAGGGCCCCCGAACCCAGGAGGATGGCAGAGACCTCGAGGGGTGCAGGGAGAGCGGAAGCGGACGCGAGCGGGCCGGGGGCACTCGGCGTGCATGTTAATGAGGAGCGCGAGCCTCGCCCGCCGCCGCCTGCGCGCTCGCCGCGCAGGAGCCGCGCCCCGGCCGGGGCACGCGGTGCCACTCAGGCCTGCGGGGGGCGCGCAGCTCGCAGCAGCCGCGCGCCCGGGCCTCTCAAAGCCCCTTTCAGCAGCTCTGCGGGCTGCTCACCGGAGGAGTCTGGAGCGACATAAAAGCGCATTATGAAAATTATAATATCAGCCACAGAGCATGTCCACGGAGGCAGCTCTGCACCTTTCAGGCATTGAGCCTCGTTCAGCTGGGCCGAGAGGGGGAAATATCCATTTGAATTCGGCCCCTGAATGGGAGCAGCGGCGGCGGCGGCAACCACAACAGTGCCTCCTTTATCCGCTCGGCCACTTCTCCTGCTTGCTCATTCCCTGGCGGTTGCACCTTGTCTCCTTATGGGCAGGGCTGTGCAGCGGGAGAGGCGCGGAAGTGGGGGCCCCCCGCTCTCAGCCAGGCTAGGACGTTGTCATTCGGGTCCCCACGAGAATGATAAATGAGGCTTTCTAGGGCCTGAGGAGATTTTTGTTCTGAGCATCGCAGGAGCGGGGGGTCAAGGGCCGGATGCATTTGTGGGAGACAGGGAGTGGCATTCGAGGCGTCGTACCCCACTTTCTCGTTCGTGTGCCCAGCGAGAGATGCATGCGTTAGGGCGCCAGGACTCGGATTCCAGCATCCGTAGCTAAGCGGCGGGAAGGGGTTCTCGAACACCTCTCGGTTCGGAATCCGTGCGCAGGTTTCGGTTCCCTGGGCCGGTCCCGTGCGTTCAGACTGCTTCCGATCCCCGGGCGGAATTCGCACGCTGAGCGCCCGAGGCGGGTCTGATCTGTTCTAGCAGATGAGTTGCCCCACCATTCAGAGTCCTGTCCATTGTCTTGTTAATCACCTTTCATTACAGCCTGCTCAGGACCATCACAAAGCTTTTAATATTAATAAGGCCCGGCGCACCAGCCCCCTCACCGCGGTCGCGGGCGACCCTGCAGACCGCGCAGGTGTCGCGCTGCAACCTGTTCAGCCGGCCGGGGCGGGTGTGTCCCGGGGTTAGCGCGTCGAGCTGGGGGTGGGGGAGGCAGGTGGCGCTGGGTTCCAAAACAAGACGGGGAAGAAAAACAAAACAAAAACCCGCGATCCAGACAAAGGGATTTGTTGGGCTACAACGTAAGGGCCCGAAGAGTTGTTTCACTCCAGGGGAGAGGGGAGGTGAGAGTTGGGGGTGGGGACGAACGGGCTCACGCGGGCTGGGACGTGACATTTCCTGTGGTGAAGCCTGCATTGGCTGCTAATAGAGATCTAATTGATGGGTGAAGTCCCATTTCCGCGCGCTCTCCTTTATTGCTCCATCCAGTCTGTTGCAAAATATAACCTTAATCTGATTTAGCAATTCCTCCAGGATTCGGTGCGAGCTTCCAGCCCAGAAAAAAAAAAATCGTTATTAAAAAAGTTAGACACTAGGATTCGGTGAGTTGCCTTTTTAAAAATCTTGCCCCAGCATCTGACATTTAGCACTTTCTCTTTTTGTAATCGTGCGGTCCTTTATGATTATTAATATCCGCGGTGCTTGGGTGCAGCGCAGTGCACATTTGTTGGGCATGCAAATTGGCGCACGGGCGCAAAGGCCCCGGGGTGTTCGGGGGAGTAGGGGGTGTTCGGCTGTGGGCTGGAGCGACTGCCCAGTGGCGATTCACGCGCAGCGGGAGTGGCTGAGGGTTTCATAATCTTTTCCCTACCCTAGGATTCCCGCAGAAGCCGCCTAGGGACAGCAGGTCTGGGAGGAGGAGCTGTCTGGTGCCAGGTGGTGGCACGCTGGTGGGAGGGACCGGGGCTGAGGACGCGGCCGCCCTCTACCTCCTTAGCTAGCTTCCTAGGAAGGTTTAAAAGTAAGAGCCCCGGGCTCAGGGTGAAGTTCACTGCCATGCAGGTGCCTGGGCCATAAAATTTTGAGTGCAAGATGGGGTCCCAGGTGATGCTGTGCAGGATGACATTTTGCTCTCCCTTGTAACACGAAGAAGATGTTAAGAGACCACTCTGGAGTTGTGACTTTGATATTCTCTTTCTTCCTGTCCTCTTTTCCCTACCCATGTCTGCTTCTGTCCTCTGAGTTAAATGACATGTCCTCTACCTGCACTTGGTTCTAAGGGACTGATTTCACCAGAGGAGTAACAGGTCATTGTTTGTTTTGGTTTCTTTCTTTCTTTCTTTCTTTCTTTCTTTCTTTCTTTCTTTCTTTCTTTCTTTCTTTCTTTTTGTCTTCGTCTTCCTCCTCCTCCTCCTCTTCCTCTTCCTCTTCTTCCTCCTCCTCCTCTTCTTTTCTTCTTCTTCCTCTTCTTCCTCCTCTCCTCCTCCTTTTTTTTTTTTCCTCTTCTTTCTCCTGGGGAAGACCTGGAAGGAGGTGTCTGATAGATCACAGATCTTGCTACGGGAAAAAAAACAAACAAAAAAGCCCTCACCAATGACAGTGCCCAGCTGAATCCCTCTTTACTGTGTCCACAAAGCTGTGTGAGGGAATCAATGGGGTGTCATTTCAATATCTCACAGCTTGGGTTTTCACTTTTAAAATGACATTGAAACTATGCCGCCTGCTCCAGTTGCCTCCAAAGGCTGTGTAATCTGTGAGAAAAGCCCTGGCAATGAATAGACTCATCATCCTCTAAACGTACAAAGCAGAAACCCCAGTCACCAGCCAGGAGACCCGCGGTTTGCAGAAGTGCGGGAGCCTCCTCCCAGGCGAGCTTCATCCGTTACTGGATGGCACTGCACTGAGTCATTGCGCCTTGGAAGGCCCTGAGTTCAGCCTCAGGATCCTTTCCTGACCTCAGGTGCCCTGCGTGTTTTTCACAACAGGGCGTTTGCATCTGTCTTAAAAAGTGCGCTTTTGTGGAGCTGTGGCCTCCAATTCCACCAGCACACCAGAATGAGTTTTCCTTCCTTAAGGAGGAAGACTGAAGAAAAGGGTGCACGCTTGTCAGCCTGGGATGATCGCTCAATTTCCCCAAGGCAGCTCTAAGAATTTCCCGGGGCAGGCGCCTGGCCCACAAGAAGGGAGAGGCCTGAGCATCTGGCCGATTTGTCCTAGACACCTTCTCTGCTGGGTCTGTGTGGCCTTTTGAGACCTGCGATGCGGAGCGGTGGGAAGGAGTGCTCCGGCATTCCCCGGCCCCGGCGCCCTCTCCGCCGCGCCCTTGATGCGTTTAATGAGGCGGAACACCGTGAAGGAGATGTGAACTGGTCCAAATGATTGATGACGCCAGGGGCACAGCTCGGGCTTTTCCAGAGAAAGCCCCATACAGCCCGTGATAAAGGCGGGAGAGTGGCAGGGCTGGGCTCCTTCAAAAGCTGTGGCCCAAAAGCATTGAGAGGAAACTGGGAGGGAAGGTGCTCTGTTGTTACCTAATCAGTTCATGCACTGAGCCACCAGCCGCAGAGAGCAGGGGAGGGCTGCAAAGGAAGTGGGGAGGGTGAAAGGGGCACCTACACACACACACACACACACACACACAGCCTCAGGAGGAACGAGATCAGCCACAGCTGTCAGGGCCCTCTCCAGGGGACCAGGGCATTGCTTTCCATGGGGGCGCAGAGAGAGCCAGGGGAAGTCCAAGAAGAGCAGAAGTCCCTGGCTCATGGCTTGGCAGGCCTTCCTCCAGGTTCCGGCACCTGCTGGTTCCCTTTCTAGGCATTAGAAGGCAATTATTAGAACAACACGTTGTGTTGTAGACACTGAAAGGGAGAGCCTGGTTGGGGGGCATCCCAAAGCCACTCAGAGATTTCCGTGAAAAGCAAATCTATATTCCTCTGCTATAAACAGCTAAGATAAAACAAGAATCATTTTCTGTATTATTTTCTTTAAATTGGCTTATTTATTTTAAAGGCGGAGTGAAGGGGGAGAGAGAGAGAGAGAGACCTATCTACCCCGCTGGTTCACTGTCTAACTGCTTGCAACAGCCAGGGGCGGCCAGGTGGAAACCAGGAGTCTGGAACTCTCTCTGGGTCTTCTATGTAGGTGGCAGGGACCAAAGTACTTGAGCCACCATTCACTGCTTCCTGCAGAGGTAGAAGCTGGTAGCTGGGACTTGAAACAGCACTCTAGTATGGCATGCAGGCGTCCCAAGCAGCAGCTTAACAGGCTGTCCCACAACACCTACCCCAGTTTATTATTTTCTACACGATAGTGTACTATGGTTTTTCCAACAAATAAATAAATTTTTATCCTTTGGGCAAAAATAATAATGGAATCATTTATTAATTTATTTGGAAGGCCAAGTGACAAAGAGAGAAGACACAGAAACAAAGAGAGACAACTTCCATCTGCTGGTTCACTCCCCAAATGCCTGCAACAGCCTGTGCTGGGCCAGGCCAAAGCCAGGAGGCTGGAACTCTATTTGGGCCCTGGGGTACATATTAGCAGGAAGCTGAATTGAAAGCAGACGCAGTACTCAATCCTAGACACTCTGAAATGGGATGTAGGTGTCCCAGCGGCACCTTAATCTCCTGCACCACAACGCCCAGCCCAATTATGGGATTATAATGCACCGTGGCTAGGGAAATAATAGGTGCGAAATGAGCATAAGTATACCTGCAGCAGGTATTCAATCTTCAATGAAGCTACTAAGGCTCACTACGAAGTCGAGTGGAAGAAATGGTTCCTTTTCTTCCTCTTTGGCCTCAGGGGGTGGTTAGCAAACACAGCCTGTTTTTTCTCCTTCCACACGCAGTGTCAGTTCATAAGTACTTGTAGATATGAAAGGGTTAAGGAACAATTCCATTCACAGAATGGAAGTTTGGGGTTTTGGTAGTGGCATAATTTTGACGTATGTTTCATTCGAAAGCTCTGTTTCATGGCTATAGTTATACTTTATTATGTTCTATATTCCATAGAGTATGAGTAAAGATGTTGGTGCCCGTGAAGGTGTGAGAGCAATGCAGGCGAGGTGCTCAGCAAAGCACCCTCCTTCTGCTTTCTAAAAGTCTTGCCTGGCTACAGGGTTAAGATGTTGCTTGGGGTGCCTGCATCCCATATTGGAGCGCCTCATTCCAATCCTGGCTCTGCTTCTAGATCCAGCTTCCTGCTGATACACACCTCGGGAGGCAGCAGCTGATGGTTCAAGTACTCGGGCCCCTGAGACCCACCTGGGAAACTCAGATGGAATTCCTGGCTCCTGGTTTCCATCTGGCCCAGCCCTGGCTGTTGGGAGCATTTTGGTAGTGAACCCCTCCACTGATGGGTTTCTATCTCTGTGTCTCTGACTCTCTTCTCTGGCTTTGAAATAAAGTAAAAAATACATACATAAATAAAAAATGTGCCTGGACATCAGCCTTCTACCATAACAAATAATGTTTGCATAATAGTTTATTCCATTTTCACTATCCATGTCTCATCAACTGCAGATCATTTTAACTTCTTTTATCCCTGAGCTTTCTGTTCAGTAGACCAGCTCCTGGAGTAGTGTCCTGTCTACTGAATGAATATATATGGTGTATAGCAAGTAGAACTCAAATAACTCACTTGAGTTTATCATTGATAAGAGAAAGATGGAAAATTACTGTTTTACTCTTTTCAATGAGGATAAGTATTTTAAAATTAACCTTTTCTTTCATTAAGCATGACATATCATCAAAAATGTTTTGAACACATTATTCTATGATTCCTCAGAAAAGAATATTTTATGATCATATTTCTTGATAATACATTCTTGTCTGTGACTGTTCCCTTGAGACTCTTCCTCCACATATTTTATTAAAGTGAGTCTTTTTCTTTCTTGAGCTCCTGAATATGATGTGGCCATAGGAATCTTCTGGAATAGAAAGTGAGACCAGGCCTGAAAAATTTAATCTTGAATACAGTTAGGGACTTGTTTGACATTAGGAAGAAATCATAATCTTTTAAATAAAACAACACTAAACTGCAGGCAATGAACTCTACATAAAATCTTTGTGGCTACATCATTTGTCAAATTGGTTGTGGGACTGAAATAATTATCCATATAATTTGGCTGAATGTAACAAATTTTCCTTAAATGTATTTTTACAATGACCAGCTAATATAGAGTATGTATCTCTAACTGTGTATATTTTTTAGAGAGAAAGGAGATTTCTAACTTAAACTCTTTAACTGGATGTTTTTGATAAAATAACTGCTTAACCCTCCCTTATTGTCAGTGAACAAGATAAAAATGCAAGCTTTTTGGAATAAAAAGCCTTATGTGCCTTTGAGTGGGTCCCTGGTATCAAGTGTAAGTATGTAGTATTTTTGCTGTAAGAATAGAGCAAATTGCATTTCCCCAAATTTGGCCTAAATTTCTGGTTGAGGGTTCTTCCCAGGAGCTTTGATGGATAAGGAACTTTCGTGGCTGAAACAGGAACCCTGCAGGCGATGTGCTTACAGAAATCACTGCAGACAAAACACCGTTAACTTCTCATGCAATCATTGTCCTCTACGCGTGGGAGATAGATGCACCTACCTACCAGGTGAACTTTCATTAGCTTCCAAATAAGAAAAAGCTCCTATTGTCTTTTTTATAGTTCCAAGTTCTATTGTTTAACTCAACTTCAAGAGAAATTATAAAGCAGGTTTATGCAGATAAGTGAATCAGCATTCTTACACCTTAACCATGAAAATGAAGTGAGTTGGAAATAGGGAGAAGATACAGGAAAATATCCTGGAGTTAGTTTAAGTATATGATGATTATTGGTTTTTAGAGAATATGTTGTTATAAAAAAGATGTGAAATATGAAAAAAATTTCCTGGAAATGAAGTTTTTTTTTAAACCTCTACCAGACATTATAAAATATGTCTCTATTCCCTTCTCTCCTCTTTTAATGCAAGTTTTGCTCTTTCATTTAAAAAGAAACTACTTGATTATTACATCCTCATTTACTGTGTTTTAAGGAAGGTCAAGGTAATGAGTCTAAAATTGCATTTAAATTTTTTAGGACCTTAATTTTATTTCCATAGTAAATAATATTATTTTATTAGCTTGTCTGAGTATCATTACCAAGGTTATATATCTATTTGTATGGCTATTTCTTTACACTTACAATTTTCCCGAAATATTTTATTTGCTTAGAAGCACACAGTGAAAAATTTTGCCCTTCCTCTGAAAACTCGCTGGCTGTGGCATAAAAATGATGAAAGTTTTTATGTGCTTAGTCCTCAGTGAATCTCTAGGGAAATCTGGAAAGAAATGACAAAAGAACCAGCTTCAGTGACTGAAACATTGCATTTGTTCAAGTGTAAGATGGGATTTCATAAGCATTGGGATTTACATAACTATTCATACGACCCTGGAGTTTCATAAGCAGCGAGTATTCACGCCTGATAGTTACATGGCTACAGTTTTAGTACATTTTGTTTGATAGTGATGCAGGTAGATTTTGTTTGTATGTTTAAGTGAGGCTGCAGGTAACTGCATTAGTATTCTTTTTATTTTATTTTTTATATTGTCTGCAATAATAATAAATCAAAACAAAGAAACCTCACCTGTTGGCCTTCATTCAAGTCCAAATTCCTTGGATCTCTTGATAAAGCTTTGAGGTTCCTAAGTCAAATACACTATACACTGCAGGATGTAAAAGCTTGACTCTTAGGGTCGAATACACTCACCCTTATTGTGAATAGCAATATTTCTTCCTAGCTTTTAAAATGTACTCTCCAATTAATTTACAGGAGAGCCTGGTCATTAGTTATGTTTTACAAACTTTTGCCATGCAATTGTTTAAACATATGATTCATGCAAACTTGGATGCTTTATGTTCATCTGATTCATTGTCCTTTGCACATAAAAACATGCCTCATTTTTTTTTAAAGACCATCTCTCTATTCATTGCTTTGGCAAAAAAAATGCCACTCATGATCTAACTTTCAAGTATTCGAGATAATACTTTTCTAACACCCTTTACTGGATCATTTCTCCACAGGTCCTTATAAGAAATGATATTGACCTCATTTTCTCCATAAACTGCATTCTCAGTAGGGCCTTATCCTATTGTGAAAAATGTTCTCTTTATAAATGTCCCAGTGATTTTTCTTCTATGTTCTGGTACAGGAATGGGCCCTTTAAAATTGCTCAACAGTTTTTAAAGAAGAAAAAAAGTGCCCACTGGAAGTGAATAAAACGCACAACAAAGATTAGCTGGGAAGTGTTCACTCTGCCTTGTTCATCTTGCTTTCTTCTGAAGCCACTCCTGTCAGTGGGCAGTTACAATAAAGGAAGAACAAAGTTCCTTGATGGGTACTGAAAAAAAGCTGCCTGCAGTTCCTTTCAATTGCTCCCGTCGCCCAGGCAGGCCGGCCTCCAGCCAGAAGCCAGCAGGCAAAATTTAACAGCCACGCTTCAAAATGTTAGAGGCAGCTATCAATGCATCCATAACTCGTAGCCCTCTAGATATGGGGTCATCTTTCAATACTACCCCACTGTCATATACAACATTTGTCTTGTCCCACATTCAACTGATTGTGTCAAACTATGGAGTGACTATATAATGCACATATACAATAGCACAATGAAAGCAATCATCTCCAACCCAGTTTCTTTATTTATTTGAGTGCTATTACAAAGTTTCCAGCAGTAAGGAGAAGCTGGGGAGGCTGCCGCGTGTTCCACGCTCCGGAGGGCTCAAGCACAGAATACAATTGCTTTGGTTTTTTTCCAAGAACCCAGTTTTTCCATTACTTTCATAACCAAATTTGTTCTCCTAAATTCTAGTACTCGCTACTTAGGCTATGCACACTTTATTTTCTTCTTTACTTAAAAAAAGAGTATAATATTCTGATGTTTTATGTGTTGTGGCCAGAAAAATAATAGCTTATATGAACAGCTTTTAAACTCACCTTGATTTTTAAGTGCTACTGATTGTTTGACCACAACAAATCCTGTTTGCCAGAGTTTATCTTATTTTGTTGTAACCGAGTCTGATCGACAAAAATCACAGGGAGATATTGAAGGTATTCTTGCCTGAGGATTTCTTCTGGTTGTTTTATCCGTGTGTAAAAGCCTTCAGGAAAAAAAAAAAGTTGACTTTGGAGAATGATTGCATTTCTCTTTTGAATCTACACCTGCCATAAGTAGTGAAATGTCAACAAGTCAATAGAGAGCATTTAATTATTTAGTCACTGCAAAGGTTGACGAGGCATTTAGATACAAGCCCGAATGACTGGATAAAATAATATTGAGAAGGACTGCACTCAATTTAGCAAGATTACATAAAGCAGAGATTTATTACGCTAAACAATAGAAAACATTTAAAAGCCATCACACAACCATTGTTGTAATTAGGGTTTGTAAGAAGCCAGTAGGTAAATAGCATGCATTTCTTTAAGACAATTATTTCATTTGGTGATTATATTGCAGTGTTTCAGAGCAGTAGAGAGCCCACTTTTGCCATGGCAACCTTCTGAGAGAAATGAGGAGGAAAGGCGTTTCAGGAAAGCAGTGTTCTTTTCAGCAATGAGAACACAAGCTTTGTTTAAGAATATATGCCAGCATGCGATTAATATGAAAATGGCCATCAAAGACCAAATTTCACTAGGAGGCAAACAAGGATCTTATCTCAGGTGCTGCAAGTCATTTGGCATTCTTATACACCGCAGAGCAGAGAAGCCCTGACTCAAAGCAGAGTTAGTCTCCTGCCAGTCTGTTGAGAAAGAAAACAAATCTTGTAAATATCCTTGCAAAAGTCAATTCTCTTTCAGCAGTCACACAATGCTCTTTGTAACAGAGCTGCAAAGTACGCGGGGTTTTCAGCCACACTGTAACATTTTTATAGCCCCTGCAGTCACCATCTATTCCATATACACAAACATCCGCGTACCCAGAAAATAATTGTGGATAATTCAATGTTCAGATTCGATAATGGATGCTCAAATAAATATGAGAATTCCAAGCAAATTTGTGCAAATGAAAAAAGATTTCCTCTGACATAATGGCACGGTGCAAGGCTGTGTGTAATGAGCTGTAATTTGTCTGGAAGAGCATTTTAAAGGGGTTGATCCATCCACTGGAAGGCCAGCAGCCGCTCCAAGTCCTGCAGCAGTGAGCCGGCCTGCCTCGTCTCCCAGGAAATTACACCACAAGCAGGCCAAATTTCTGACAACTTCCATAAATTATTTCAGATTTTCATATTTCAAATTTCATCTGCATTCATCATGTGAGTTTGACTGGGGAAAAATGTCTAGGAGGAGCTCTGCTAGCATTCAATGCAGCAGTCCCAGGAGCCTGCCCTGGGACTAGATAATTTAATTTTGTTTTGATTAGATTATTCTTGCTGCAGTCTACTGCCAATCTGAAGTATTGTGCCTTCTTTTCTACTTAACCTTCCTGCCCCGTGCCTGCTCCAGCCTGCATGCAGCTCTCTGTATTGCAGAATATATTTGAACAATCAAAGTTAGGAGTTATTATTTTGCTTTCCATTGTCCATCCTTATAAAAGCACACATCTTTCACTGGGCTCCCTCTTCCCAGAAATCAGATTACTTCTTTTTTTTAGTTTGTAATATTGTTTACCATTTTCAGTGGAAAGTGCCCTGTAATTTAGGTGGAAAATCTAAAATCATTACTAAATCTCAGGATGATGCAATAGACCATAAATAAGGATCATCTTTAAAACAACTATCATCATCACTAGACGACACACCAGAGACTGAAAACAGGTAAATAATGAATACACCCATCCATTAAACTAAAAATCTATTGTAAACCAAAGTTATTTTTCAACCCTTTACCTAATGGTCAATGAAGAAGGCCCTCTGTAATCGGTCTTCAAAAGCAGGACATTAGAAATTCAGGATACAAGCTCCCCGTAAACATGCAAAAGCAGAAACACGATTAACTTATGAAAAATACTGGCACGATAGCAAAATAATCTGGGAAACAGACTCAGTGAGGTTTTTAAAAATTCCTTTAAATTCAATTTGAATGCATGAAATGGCGATTAACAGTAAGTAAGGACCTTGGATATCTCGCAATGTATAACCACCATTTTCCCCCTATTTTTAGAAAATGAATGCATTTATGTGACATTCGATAACCAAGGAACACCAACAATATTTGTTGCTTACTAAGTTAGAGGAGGGATTATTAGAAACGTAGATAAATAAACAAAGTTAATGTTGTTTCTTAAGTAATATCTATCACTTCCCCCTTATTGAGTTATCTCTTTAAACAATATAAGTTTTTTGATGCTATGTGTCTGAACTGAGGACTTTAGCTTCTTTATTGTTCTCCATTTTGATGAAAAAAATTGAGTTGGGGTCTGTTCTATTGAGTTTTGTTCAGTAAATATACCGAAATCATATTTTTGTTAGAAGCTATCAATAAATCCAGTATAAGAAAAGTAATAAGATACAAATATGAACAGGACCTTTGCAAAGGAAATATTACACAGAGAGTGCACCCAGAAAATATATTAGGGAATGTGTTTTTTCCCTGCTGCTAGGAGAAAATACAGAAGGAAGGACATGAAACTGTGTTATTTTTAATACAGATTCCCTGTCTGAAATAAAAAACAGTTCTAACCGTGATATCACATGGCTCAATAAAATCATTTTCCCAGCATTACAGTTAAAAAAATACAATGGGAGCACCTCTAACTCTTCTTCTCCTACACTGAGGTAAGTTACTAAAAAGACATCACACTTGATAAATAAATATGACTTCTAGATGATGGAGATTTGGGTTAGAGGGTATCCAGCAGTCCCAACTCCTTCTTAAAATTAATTTCAATAACATCTGTGGCTAAACCATTTATTTTCAGAACTCCATTTTATCCCATCAGGAATATTCTAGGGAAAAAAATCACAAAGACTTAACAAAATCTAATTTATTATGGGTAAATCTGTTGATGAAATGGGAAATGTTTATTCCTTCTACTGTTTGGAGATATTGGAGGTCTAGGGAAAAAATTGTTGAATGCTATTTTGTTTTTCCTGTGGTAGGGAAGGGAATGACATTGTAAACTAAACTGACTGCAAGTTCATTGCAGGGGGTCACAATTTACTTGGTCACCTGCTGTCTTATATGAAAGCCGCCACTGGGTGTTGCTCACTGGGCTGTTAAAAGCTTCCATAATACCTTCACTTTTCTATTTCCTTGGGGGAAAAAAGCACCTTAAACTCAGGAAAGTTCCATGACATTCCCTGTTCAGACCGTCACACCATTCTATATCTACTTGGATATCAGACAGAGGCAGTTGTTAAATGAGTTCCCAATAAATAAAAGCAAAAAATTGTAATTCAGTGTTTGCAGCTTGTCTCAAAGTTCTAAAACTTGTTCTAATAAAATTAAATGTGTGCACTTTTTTAAAATCCCATCAAGTCACTCTTGAAAATCTTTGTGACTTAATGTTGGAGCCACTCTGCTTGTTTGGCAAGGAGGCCTGGCAATTACACTTTCTGTACCCAGTATTCAAATTTGAGAATGTCACTTTATTACTTTGATTTTTAATTATGGACCAGGTCAGCAGAAAGACTTCCAATGAATGTTAAAAAAAAAAAAAAAAAAAAGCCAAACTTCTTCCTTCCTGGAAATGGCAGTCAATAAAGAAAAAAAAAAATAACCCGACTTTCCTAGAAATGTATAATTTATGATTGAAGCAAGCGGCTCCTGTGGACTAAAATAAAGGTAGTTTAAACAGGGCGGAGGGCGGAGGGCGGTGGGCGGTGGGCGGTGGGCGTAGTCCCGCGGCCAGCGCCTTTGGCGGGGGAACTTGGTTCTAGGCTGGGGCGTAGCCTCGCCACTTCAGACTGGAAGGACCGCAATGAATGAGGCGTCTACACTGGAGGAGGAACTCATCCTCCCCGTGGAGCAAGCCTCTTGTTGCTGCTGAGGGAGAAATGTGTGAGGGGGAATCCTTGTGTGGTGGTTCTTTCCCCAAGGCGGAAGCAGTTCTAGCTCTCATAAACAGCTCCAATCCCTGCTCACCCGAATAATTTAAATAGAGGCTGCTACAATGAGTATCTCCAGGGCCCCCTCTCATATTAATTGTCATAGAATTGTGCTGTGCAGGATCATTTTCATAAAATACCATGGGAATAGTGCCCCCTGGTGTTGTGGAACTCCGGGCATCCTGCGAAAGCTATCGTGGAAGGGTCTCGCTGATGCTTCTTTATGTGAGGGAGAGAAGACAGTAACAAGAATAATGGGCAAGGAACCACTGGGTTCCAGTTTTGCTCCCTTGAGCACAGCCCCTAACTTTCCTTTGCATTGCCTGTGGACTTTTCTGAGTCACCATGGAGAAGTGGACTTAGCCGTCCAGGTCTGCCCAAATGCGGGGCAGTAGAATGGGACAGTAGCCTGGCCGCATTCTGAGGCAGTCTCCCACCCACGCAGCCAGAGGGCGGCAGGTCCCCTCTACGCATCCCAGCGGCAAGGCTGTGTTTGAGACAAGACCCAAAGGCCAAATGGGCCTGACCATGTCCTCCCACGTTGGCTTCTCCTGAGTCAAATGGAGCCTTTCTTATTCTCAGAGGGATTTCTGCAGACCAGAAAAATTAGGCTCCTATCATGGAGGTTTGGATTACTGACAGAATCTGTTCTGTACTTGAAAGGATTATTACTTAAGAATATGAGGGGCTGGCGCCGTGGTGTAGTAGGTAAAGCTGTCACCTACACTGCCGGCATCCCATATGGGTGCTGGTTCGAGTCCTGGCTGCTCCACTTCTGATCCAGCTCTCTGCTATGGCCTGGGAGAGCAGTAGAAGGAGGCCCAAGTCCTTGGGCCCCTGCACCCACGTGGGGGACCCGGAAGAAGCTCTTGACTCCTGGTTTTGGATCAGCACAACACCGGCCATTGTGGCCAATTGGGGAGGGAATGAGAGGATGGAAGACCTCTCTCTGCCTCTCCTTCTCTCTCTGTGTAACTCTGACTTTTAAATAAATAAATAAATATTTTTTAAAAAAGAATATGAGATAATTAACTTAAAACCCAAATCCAGTATGCTTAAGTCCCTGATTGAGAAAAGAGTGCTTAGGGCCCTGTGGCAAAGAGGATAGGAGGAAAATTAGAAAAATCAACTTTCTTAGGCTTTACTTTCCTCTTCTGTAAAATGGGTGACTAGATAAGACTATGTCTCGAGTTGCGAAATGTATCGAAAGCAATTTGAAATGTATAGTAATTACAATACAGAAGTTTGTAAATGTAAATGTTATTTTAAAATAAATGATAAAAAGTTTGCATTTGTATACTTTTGATTATACTTTCTTGAGTAGGGGAGATCCAAAAATGAGTCGCAGCTAGTGGAGATGGGTCAGCTGTGAGATTATCATCTCTGACTGTGTGGAAGTGCAAATGTAGCTCACAGTTGCTAAAACTGAATACCCCAAGGTAGCTTCTATCTGTGACAAACAGGGGACATAGGCCATTTGCTAGACATACCTGCAAGTCATTAAATTTATCCTTACTAGTTTCTGGCTCTTTGCATTATAATTTTAAAAATATATATTTATTTATTTGAGTGTCAGAGAGAGAGAGAGAGAGAGAGAATCTTCTGTCTGTCTGCTGGTTCATTCCCCAGATGGCCACAAAGACTGGGGCTGGTCTGGGCTGAAGCCAGAAGCCTGGAACTCCATTCAGGACTTCTACATGGTGGCAGGGTCCTAAGCACTTGGGCCATCTTTCACTGCTTTCCCTGGTGCATCAGCAGGGAGCTGTATCAGAAGCAGAGCTGTACAGACTGGGATTCTGATAGCACTTATGTGGGGTGCCAGCAACATCACGGGTGGAGGCTTAACCTGATGGGCCACGATACCAATCCTTAAGGACTTACTTAAGAGGCAGAGAGTGGGGGGTAGGGGGAGAGAGCCCATCCACTGGTTGACTATCCCAAAGCCCACAACAGCCGGTACTGAGCCATTGCCAAGATCCAGGAGCTAGGACTGGAACCCTGGTATTGGCACACAGGCATCTGAACCAGCATCTCAACCACTAGGCCAAGCACCCAGCTCGACAAATATTTATTAGGCACTTACCATATGGGCCAAGTGCTGCGTTAGATGCTGGGGATACAATGGCACGCCAAACAGCACACTCTCCTTTCTTTACCAGCAATGTAACAGATAGGGGCAGGCGTTCAGTGCAGTGGTTAAGTCACCACTTGGGACGCCGCCATCCCATTTCAGAGTACTTGGGAAGAGTCCCAGCTCCCTGGTTTCTGATCTAGTTTCCTGCTGGTATGTGCCATGGGAGCCAGCAGGTGATGACTTGAACGCTTGGGTTCTGCTATCGAGGTGGGAGACTTGGATTGAGTTCCAGGCTCCTAGCTCTGGCCTGGCCCAGCCAGAGTTGTTGCATCATTTGGGGAGTGAAGATTTCTTTGTCTATCTGTCTCTGGCTTTCAAGTACAATGGAAAAAAACAAAAACAAAAACCAAGAACCTGAAAGTTACACACATACACACACACACACACACATATATAGTGAATGAAACAAAATTTGTACATCAAAGTCATGATTCTGGGATGTTGTTGTTTAGGATTAAGCTAATATGGGAATATACATTTTCTAAAAATATATCAATTTAATAAGATATTGAGTAAATAATAGTATAGTGATATGATATGGAAGAAATCATGAAGGTAGATTAGGAAACACTTGCATAGATTAATTCTTGCTAAGGAAATGGACAATTGTTTAGTATGCTTTACATCCCCTTTGAGTGACAGAAAATCATAATAAATAGTGATCTTAAATGATGGAAATAGAAACTATTTGCTATAGAAACTCCAATGATATTACAGATACTCTGTTTATCTCTGGGTGGTAATTCCAGTGTTGCTCTCTATTGTTTTTGCTAGCTCTGCTTGTAGTATCTTGGTTTCTTGTGTGTTTTGTGATTTTTAAGCATGAGTTCTATTTTTAAGATTTATTTATTTATTTGGAAGGCAGAGTTACAGAGAGGCAGAGGCAGAGAGAGAGAGATCTTCCATTTGCTGGTTCACTTCCCAAGTGGCCTCAATGGCCAGAGGTGGGCCAATCTTAAACCAGGAGCCAGGAGCTTCTTCCAGGTCTCCCACGTGGGTTCAGGGACCCAAACACTTGGGCCATCTTCTACTGCTTTCCCAGGCCATAGCAGAGAGCTGGACTGAAAGTGGAGCAGCCTGGACTTGAACCGATGCCCATATGGGAAGCTGGCACTGCAGGCAGCGTCTTTACTGGCTACGCCACAGCGCCAGCCCCTAAATGGGATTTCTTAATCCCTTAGGTAATTCCTTGGAAATTTCTTTGGGGTTTGGTTGAAGAATGATTTTTCCCCCTAGATTCCTTGGGTGAATTGCCCATTCCAAACTATGTTAAGCTAAATTGTAGGCTTAAGGTTTTCCAGACCTCTAAGGTAACATGAGTTTGGGCTACAAATCCTAGTGAGAGTGGGTTTTTGATAATTCATTTTAAGTGGGTCACGTGCTGTTCTCCTTGTTCCACTCAGTGCCAAGGTTTGGAAAATGTTGTTTTCTTGTGGTCCTCTTGGGCAACGGGGTATTTCCAGTTAACCCTCACCTTCGGCACCCTCCCTGCCCCTTAAGGGGCCACATCAGGTGGGCTCAGCAAGTTGAGTGGGCTCAGAAGTTAATTTCTGAACTCATGCTTTGTCTAACTATTTTTTGGCCTCTAGATATTACTCACTTATTTTATTTACTAGTGAGTTTCAAAAGTCAAAAAAGTACATTCCAGGGGCTGGCATTCCGGATTCCATATGGGTGCCAGTTTGTGTCCTAGCTGCTCCACTTCTGATCCAGCTCCCTGCTAATGACCTGAGAAAGGCAACAGAAGATGGTCCAAGTGCTTGGGCCTCTGCCATCCACATGAGAGACCTGAAAGAAGTTCCTGGCTCCTGGCTTCGGCCTGGCCCAGCCATGGGAGTTACAGCCATCTGGGGAGTGAACCAGAGACTGGAAGATCTCTATTTCAGTCTCTCCTTCTTTGTCTATAACTCTGACTTTCAAATAAAAAAATAATAAATCTTTTTAAAAAGTACTTTCTAAAAGAAATCTTATAGCTACTAGGGTGGGGGATAATATAAATTGGAGCAACTATATTGGAAAACTGTTCAGGTGCATATACCAAGGACAACCATAGGCATACCTGTGGTCCAACAATTGTATCCTTAGGTTTACAATCAATAGGAATACATGTACAAATTCTCCAAAAGACACTTACATAAATGTTTGGTACAGCCTTGTTCATCATAACCTTAACCAGAAACCACACAAGACCCATCAACAGAATTACTAACGAAAGTATGGCATATTTACACTATGTACAACCTTTACACTACTATCCAGAGAATGAGATTCAACAAACTACAATCACATACAAGGATATGGACGTATCCCACAAGCATAACTAAAAAATCCAGACACAAAGAGGTTAGGGGTCTGGCACAGTGGTGAAGACACTGCTTTGGATGCCCATATCCATAACAGAGTTTCATTCCTGGTTGCCCCACTTTTGATCCAG